CCCCAAAACCCCAAAACCCCAAAACCCCATGGAGAAATTCTCTCACTATTAATTGAAGTTGATTAAATAAAAATCAATTAATTTGATTTAATTGAAAAAGTAAAATAATGTCAATCTATAATGGCTTTGGAACAAGATAATAAGAAGGGTCCTATAACAAAGCTCTCTACAACACTATTTTCCTTTTGTAACTTAGAATATTCAAGCTTTTTAAAGGGGGTAAGTAGATTTGACTGACTTTGTTATCGTCAGGTATTAATATAAACTTATAGAAAAATTTGATGATATTAAGTTTGGTAAAGTTCTAACAAAATTGTATGCAAGATTATTCACAATGGAATAAGTGAAATATTTGCCTCCCAAATACTCTTATGCTTTGAAAGATTTAGCAGAATATTTAGGTATATTTGAAATAACAGAGGACTAAATCAAGAAGAGAGGAGGTGGAGAATTCTCTGATACTTCTTCAAACATCTCATATGTAACGTAGAGTGCCTTCAAGCCGAAGAAAAGTTAGCTTGATGTGATACGAGAACATATTACTCTAAAAGAAGAAGAGGAGGATGATGATCAAACAGGGGAAAGTCTGGGATAAAGAGCACTTTGAGGAAGCAATAGATTAATAGAAAAGAGGTTTGACTCACAACTCTCAATGAACAACAACTAAAACAATAATAATTCTACAATGAACAGTAGCATGATCTCTAACGGAGCACAAATAGTGGGTGGTTAGCATCCTGGAATGATGAACTCTCAGCAATAGTAGCAGTAGTAATAGATGTAGATGTAGAGATAATAGTAAGAACAGCCTAATAATGGAGGTTAGAGTAGCAGAAATAAAGTTGGACATAGAAATAAAAGTTCTAAGAATTCAGTAAATGGCTAGAACTATCCACCCAATGATCAAATGGTTCAAATGAATAAATAAGGATATCCACCATAAAAGATTCAAGCAAGATCTCTCCCACCTCAATATCCGATAGAAACTATCGCCTAGGTAAAACTTCCTAATGGAGCGTAGCAAAATCCATAAGTATTGGATTAAGAAGAGAATCCAATTAATAATAATATGAGAATCAACGATGATCGGACAACAATTCATAATAATATTATAATAAACATTAATAATACCTCAAATAATAATGTAGCATTGCCTGAGAGACGTAAAAGCCCCTCAATGTAGAGTGATAGAGGTGTAAGTTCTAATAGAATGAAAGATTTGAGCGGGGTTTAAGTTCAGTTGGCTAATGAAAAAGCTAAAATGAGGAAAACTGATACAGAATTCAACTCATCAGTTCAAAGTATAAAAAACTAACAGTAGCAGTAATTCTAGCAACAGTAATTGCAATAGTAATAGTATTCAATGGAACATAGCAGGGAATATTCTCAACCAAATATCAAGAAATATCCTAGAATGGCGAGTGTCATTTAAAATGCTGGACAGAGATCAATAACAGTCAGTAAGTCCTTAAGCAAAAAACATGGAAGCAATAATTATTAAATGCATATAGAAAAAAGATTGCCAGCGTAGCATTAATACTAGCAGCATCCCAAGGGCTACAATTCACTGACCTACGCTTCTTAAGGTAAGAGAAATATATCTAAAATTAGCTAAGCTTTAGATGAGGCTGAAGGTCCAAATATTATGGATTTAACTAATATCGATGATGGTGCAAGTTCTGCAAAAATGGACAATTCCATACTTAGCAATGGTTATTATTCGCAATAAGATCCGAGGAAAAATTTCAGTAACAGTACATTAGGCAGCCCAGCTAAATAAAATGAAGTCAACAGCAATAATATAAGGTAACCCAGTTTAAACTAAATTGAATTTTGAATGATTTTTATAGCTTTGAAAGAAAGTCAACAGGATAACACACCAATAATAGTATGGCTGCAATATATCAGCAAAAGCCAATTCCCAGAAAAGCTTAAAAAGGGAATCGACAGAAGAGTGATAACTTTAGTAACTCTTAAAACTAATCTTTGCAAAAAGAAATGGCATATTAGTAGTAAATGGCTTAGTAGTCATACCTTATTAACTAAAGTGCATATGCTGCTTACTAACAGAAATTCGTTGGACCAAAGATTAATAAATTTGTAGTTAACCGATGAAATCTCTAACTTAGAGAGGATTTAACTCATTAATAATTTTAAAAGATAAGTTGTTCTCCTTTAGTTAATTTTATTTAAAAAAACTTATCTCAACAATACCTATAATAACCAATTAAGGGGTTTTGGGGTTTTGGGGTTTTGGGG